CCCTCCAAATTAATAGAATACAGGTAATCCTCAACTTACAACCATTCATTCAGTGACCATTTGAAGTTACAATGGCACTGGAAAAAGTGACTTATGTCCATTTTTCACACTTTTGACCATTGCAGCATTCCCAGGGTCATTTCAGTCCCCACAATGAATGAACAGCTGCAAAAATTACTTTTTGGTTGCTCTTCTCTGCACTTTTTCTAGAGTGTCAACATCTTTTTTATGCTGTGGGGACCAAAACTGGATGTAGTATTTCAAGTGTGGTCTTACCAAGGCTTTATAGAGTGGTATTACTTGATCTCGATTGTATCCCTCTGTTAATGCCACTTAGGATTGCATTAGCTTTTTTGGCTGCTGCTGCAGACTGTTGGCTCATATTTAACTGGCTGTCCACTAAGACTCCAAGATTCCTCTCACCATTACTGCTGTTGAGCCTGGTTTCACCCAGCCTATATTTGCACAAGCCTAAAATTTATTTCCCCAACTAATGAAATCAGAGAGATGGTAAATATTGCACTCTGAAAGAATGAAAAACACGAAAACTTTCTAAATAAAGACATCCGTTGTGGCAACCCACAGTGCCATAAAAATGACCAAACTAGCTAGCAACCAATTACCAACAATCCCCCATTGTATAAACTTCTAATTATTACAAGGGAAACATACAGTAGAGTAGCAATTTTCTAAAACAGTTGCAGGCATTTGCCGTTAATTTAAGATGCGCTTTGCAACTTAGGAAGTGCTAGCAAATTGCTTCTGAGCATTTGAGGATTAATGGCTTTTAAGCCACAGAAGCATTGACTCAAACTTTCTCTTTTATTCACAGTGATCGGTTTCACAGCAGTCAAGCCCTGAATGAGCTTGAAGTGTGCAAATTAAACACCACTATGCACGTTATCCTTCATAATGCAAACCTCTTAAATAACACTATCAGTGAAAGGGGCCTATTCATAACTCTAGTTAACAGGAATTTCTAAGCCTTCAGCTGCACTCCTGTATTTTGCAGATGATACTGATGATCTAAACGTAATCATCTAAAACTATTTTTGTAAATTGTCTTCCTAAGAACATGCCCCTTCTAAGAACATTTTGCACAAAGCAATATTGAACAGAATGCAACTCATTAAATTAACTAAGTCAGAGACAAGATTGATTTAATTTCTGAGAAAATCATAAAGACCATCATTTTTCTTTCCTAGGCTTTTATGAAAGACAATCTTTTTGCATGCCAGAGATATTTACAATTAAAGCAATACAGCCGAGTTTTATTTCTTTTCCTTAGGTTTAGTTTTCAAAGAATTCCCTTCCTCTGTCAAAATAAAAATGAATTTCTGTTGTTCACAGACTAAATTGTCAGTTTTAATTATATTTGATTCCTAAATTCATTTGAGACGACATGCACTTCTATTTAACCTGTTATCACATTTATACTCTGAGCAGAATTTAAGATGCTACTTTCTTATTTTCATCCCGAGAGGACCATCTAACTCATTTCAACCATAAATAAGTTTCCTGAGGCTTCGGATACACTAAGATCACAAGCAAAACACCCTGAGATTCTAAAGAAGTGTTTAAATTAAGTTTTTTTTTTTTAAAAAAAGCACAGCTTGAGAGTTTAGCAATGCAACCCACAGAAAATATTTCTTCGAATGTAAATTTGCAAGATAACAAGTGTCACGTGAGAAAGTTGAGCACTGTTTAAGGCTGAAAAGGAAGAACTGTAATCCAGTGAAACAGAGAGATCAAACAGAACTGAAGTGAACGCTGCCACAGGCAAACCACAAACCATGTGAAGTTGGGCAGACCTGATTTTTATCGCTAAACAGCCATAGCCTTTCTAAATCGACCAACAAATTGGATTTTATTTTTTGGCTTACATCTTCTTTGCATTTTTTATATGAAACCACGGCGGGCATCTAAGTTTACAATTTGGTCTGTTGATGAAGAGAGATGGATTTCTTGAGGCTAGGATGCGATACAGTTGGGATTTTTGGAAGGAACCATGTGTGTATATATCCGGTTTTAAAGGTTTCGGACTTTGAATTGGCTTTGAATCAACAGAGAGACTAGATCAATGGGTGAGATAAGTTTAGACCACACGGTTCAGGCTTAATTTGTTTAAAAGTTGATTTGCAATGATCCAATTAAGCTATTTAACATCATAGAAGAACTCTAGGTTTTTTTTAATCCAAACGTAATTGTGTGACTAGCCATGGTTCTTTTTTTTTTCTTTTCCCTTTATAATCTATAGATTTTTTTCTTTTCTTCTTTTAACTTATTCATTTGTTTTTCTTCTTCAGTTTTTTCCTTAAATTTGTGTTTTTTTAAATGGTTTCTTTTTGCGCGTTACGATTTTATTACTGTTTTAGGTATATAACATAATTTAACTTTGTTCTGATATAACTTTTAATAAAATCCCATTACATTATATGAACATCAACAAAATCAAGGATGGTTATTTTACATATACACATGCAACACACACGGTTAATGCGTAAGTCAATGTATGGATGGTGACATGAATAAGGACAGGTAAGGTTGACCTACAAAGCCTGGAATTTAGTTTTATCAAAATCTCTCTCATTGTGCCCCAGACTAGAAAGTGGGAAACAGTAAGCTTGGTTTTGCCTTAGCCATGAAAGCCAGCTGGATGATATTCGGCCAATCACCAGAAGACGGTGAGTTCTAGTCCTGCCTTAAGTATGAAAACCAGCTGGGTGACTTTGGGCCAGTCCTTTTCTCTCAGCCCAGCCCACCTCACAGAGTTGTTGTTTTGGGGAACACAGGAAAAGGAAGATGTATTGGATATGTTCACCCCCTTGAGTTATTTGTAAAACTAATAAATACAAATAAATAAAAATAAAATCTCTTATTCAAACCCAGTTTCTCTTCAGATGATCAATGTCTTTCATTAACCCTCTTTTCACTTTCTTTGTGGCATTTATAAAAGTCTAACGTTGCTTAATGGATTTATATTGAGTTGTTGCCATCCAAACAGTTCCCATGCTTAAAAATCATTGTTTTGTATTTTAAATGATTACATTGGAATCAAGTTAGTTTAAAGATTGAGAAATCCTCTGTGAATAATTTCAGGTTATAATAATGAACTGCCTTCAAAGACAGCCATTGAGAGCTGAAAAAAAAATCTCCTTTCTATAGAAAGTAATCCTACTTTCTTGTGGAAATTTATAATATCCCTCTACTTAATGTTTGGGGCAGGCTTTGCTTCCTATGTTAATGCAAGCACTGTCTGGTTATTTTTGTACCACTCTTTTAAGGAACTGTCAATAGATTCATTTTGTGGCAGTGCTTTCATTCATTAATCCATTCATTAATTCATTCACTCATTTCTCCATCATTAGATCAAGCTGGCAACAGGGAGTGGAAATGGTGCAAATTAGGGGATCTAGATATTTGCAGAAATTTAGAGAAAGCATAAAAATATTGCTCTACTTCTGATAAAATTGGGTAGTCCAATCTTTGGGTTGTGCCAATAAGATGATTCTTTCAAGTCATATTTTTTAAGTAGAATTAACAGGTAATTAAAAAAAGAGTATTTTAAATCATGCAAACTACTTTGTGCTGATAGTTAAACCCTTGTTTAACGATATTTTTTTCCTCAAGAAACAAACTCCATGATAAACCATTAATTATTTTGTGGCTTGTATAACTTTTCACTGATATACTACAGCAAGACAACATTCTGAAAAGAACATGGTATTTAATAATTAGTGAGTGAAAGCACAAACATCATTTTGCACAACAGAATAATTTATTTAAAAATACAGGTTTTCAAATTCCTAATTAAGCCAATATTTTTCCATGACATATTATGACATGGTAATTTATAGCTATTTGTACTATTTAAAAAATAGGGGTGATGGGAGACTAAACTTTGTTAGCTAAATAACAAATGATCACATTTGTATCATTTGTTAATCTTACTGTAATCTCCCATCTTATTTTGCTCCATAGGTGATAAAGGGTATGTAGCATAGTTGTCTAATTTTGCGGTGTTCCTAGTCCAGCTGACTCACTGGATGGTTTGAGACCCCTTATTTTCAATCACCTCAACTAATCTCAGAGAATTATTCTTTCCATCCTTAAAATGGGATTAGGGTAATGTTCCGTATTAGCAGGCTTGTAGACCTGCATTTATATTGGTCCGGAAGAGCCGGGCCGTGATTGGATGTTGTGTAGCACT